TGATCCTGGAGTCCCGGGATCGAGTCCCGCATCGGGCTCCCTGCTCGGCGGGGAGTCTGCTTCTCCCTCTGACCTTCCTCCCTCTCCTGCTCTCTGTCTCTCATTCTCTCTCTCTCTCTCTCTCAAATAAATAAATAAATAAATAAATAAATAAATAAATAGAACTCTAGTCTCTTAATCCTAAAGGCTGTGCTGTTTCATTCGAACTGAAAGGATTTCCTGAATTGTGCTCCTTCCTCTGCTCTGTGGCCGGCAAGGTTATTTGAACTTGGCACATGTGCGTGTGTGTGTGTGTGTACAGAGGTGACAATTTTCGGTCAGGTTCTCCTCAGCCTTCTCCTTCCAATTCAACTCTCCTACGTGCTTCACTGTATGAACAGGGTATGAAAGAGCTCTCCCTGCCCCAACAATCTCTCAGAGCTGCGGAGAGGAAACAAAGAATGGATTTGAAAGTGCCTGCGGAATTCGCAAGCGCTATAAAAACAAACATAAGTCTTGATACACTAAGTGCTAAGAAACAAATGAACACATTTAACAAATAAATTGAAAATAGAAGCTCCTTGCGACAGAATATTGGAAATCCAGCTAATTTGACATTCAGACTTCCCAAATGAGGAGCCAAAATACTCTACAAACTAGGTCCATTTTGTAAGAGCCGTTCCCTTCCTGCAGACTAGAGCTACACCTTGCTGACGAAAATACCAGCCTGCTTTTGAGTAGTCATTTAAAACAATTCTTTTAATTACTACTATTTTTTTTTGCCTTCACTCTCTGCACTCTTTCTATTATGAAGATATTCTGTGTGCACCAAGAAATATTCTGTGTTTCCCATCATAACAAACTTCGATCTGTAAAAAGGTTTGAGCAGAATTAGGAAGTTCTAAGTGATCTGCTTTAAGGGTCAGCTGCCTGAGGTGACCCCAGGGTCCCCCTGTGGCTGTGCTTTGAAGACTGGGCATTGGGTTTCTTGAGGGACGAATGGGCTGTGGAGACCAGCGAACATTAACCAGCTGGTCGCTTGGTGAACAAAAGACACATTTGAGGGAAAATGGGGAAGACCCACAGTGAAATGAGTTTGGGCGTGTGTGACGCCGCCTTTTTTTCTCATTCCACCCAATCCTCTGCGTGTGGATGAATGACTATGATGAGCTGCGTGTCTTACTTTCTAGTACGCATGCCCACAGGGAGGAGGCCGGTGGGAGCGGTCACCCTGCAGCTGGGGGTGTCCTAGAGTCTGGCTTCTGCTCACCAGCTGTGGGACTTGTCAAACTGAGTGTCTCTGGGCCTCACATTCTGCATCTGTGGTGGGGACATTCGGAGTTTATCCACGCAAAGCACTTAGGACAGTGCCTGGCACAGAGTGAAGTGTTAAGATTAGCAGTGATGATGGTGATGAGCATAATCCGACTATATATCTCTACCCTTACTTGCCTAATTATTATGGGGGAATAAAGTGAAGAGGTGATATGGGGTTCATTACGATATCCACTCTGCTTTTGTATATGTTTAAAAATTCTTATAATAGACCATTGGGGAAAAAAAGAAAAAAAAAAGGCCTGAGAGGGAAGGGCAGTTGCAGGAGAGAAAAAGGCAGAGTCTAATCCATTCCTAATATTTTTAAGTTTCTTCTCTCAGTAGATTTTCTATACAAATGTCTTCTGGAAAGGGCCAAACCGTAAATATCTCAGGTTTTGCAGGCCAAACGGCCTCTGTCATGACTCAGCTCTGTTAGCGCAAAAACAACTGGAGACAATATGGATACGGATGGCCTGGCCACGTGCCGCCAACATTTCATTTACAGAAACAGGCCCATAGTTGGCCAAGCCCTGTTCTAAACCCTAAATATTTCACAGACTATGGGGCAAAAGAAGAACTTATGCTCTCCCTATTTGTGGCCCCCCGTCCTTAACGCGCGGCCTTCTGAAGGGTCTGTAGACCCCGGAGACAGTTCTCAGAAGGCTCAAGGAAGCCCTGCAAATGGGCCAACACAACACAAGGCTTGGCCCTCTAACCTGTGGCCTGAATGCAGGGACAGTCTCTGAGTCCCTGGGCCGCGGTGTTGAATAAAGAAACTCCTCAGGGGCGCCTGGGTGGCTCAATCAGTTAAGCGTCTGCCTTTGGCTCAGGTCATGATCCCAGGGTCCTGGGATCGAGCCCTGCATCGGGCTCCCTGCTCAGTGGGGAGCCTGCTTCTCCCTCTGCCTGCGCTCCCCCTGCTTGTGCTCTCTCTCTGTCAAATAAATAAAATCTTAAAAAAAAAAAAAAAAAGAAAAGAAAGAAACTCCTCAGTCTTTGTCCCTGTTGAAACTGTTGGCAGGTTTCTCTGAGCCCTCCTGCAGACCCCCTGTGCCCATGTTCACCAGCAGCTCCTGGAACCATGGATGGAGTCGCGATCCAGCTAGCCCTAGATGCCGCCTGACGGGGGGTGAGGTGGGGTGAAGGGTCACCTCCTGCCCAGCAGAACCCTTACCGGGCCGTGAGGAGGTTCTCGGTTTCTGCGGGACGGTGGGCCGCGCTGCCAGGCTGGGTTTGGGGGACTGCAGGAGGGGCTTCGGGCTGGTCGGTGTGCTGGAAGAGCCCCGCGACCTGGAGCCCGCATCCACTTTGGGCTCCGCTTTGGCATTCTTTTCGGGTGTTCCCAAACCGAAGCGGCTCTCCGCAACACCTGGGTGCAGTTTAGGCACTGCAATGAAAATGGGGACAAAGAGCACACTTTACTTTAAAACTCAAAGGTTAAAGAAACGAACCATTCGAAGCTGGGAGAGATCTGGTACAAGCCGCCATAACCATTTCTTGTCCTTTCTCATCAGAGGTGTTTCAGAACTGAAGCACGTCGTTGCTCTAGCATGCCTGTAGGATCAAAACACGCTGGTGGAAGACTACACTTCTTTGTGGGAAAGCAGTGAACTCGGTGGTGCGCTTCTGATCACTCCTGACTACTCCACAGAGGACAAGCGTGTCCGTGTCCGTGTCCATGCTAGCGGACGGAGAGCACGCAGGGCCGAATGCACTAGAAGCACTCAGATCTTTCTCAGACGTGGCACGAGGTGCAGGCACAGGTAAAACCAGCTGTAGGCGCCTCGTTTCTGGATAATCAGCAGCAGGTAGGGGTCTGGCTGCGGGTCCCCAGCGAGGAGAGCTACGCTGACGTCCATAACCTCCTACGTAGCGAGAACCGTGAGAATGGCTTCAGGTTCAATGTCCCACCCCTGCTGGTTAAACATGAGCCACGTTCCATCCCTTACTGCATGAAGATACTCAAGCTCAACACGGGACTTTCAAAGAGCAAAGCGAGGTTTCTGACACGCAATTTGTAAGTTACTCTTCGGTTCCCATCAAACATATCTTATTCTTTTACTACACCTGAAAAGTCAGAGGGACGAAGGATAGTGGATATTCATGCTGAAAGGAAAGAACATTCCTTCATCTCAAACAAACGGGTCACCTTCCACCTACCGTGTGCGGCTGATTTTGAACATTGGCCATGACCCCACCTCCCCCCAGTCCTCAGATGCCCACAGTTTGGGAGTTCTTCTCAAAGACATTTCTTCCCTTCGGGGAATTGGCAAAGGTGCCCTGTCCAGGTACACGGCTACTGGGGTGGGAGACACGGCCCAGGTGGAGCTGCAGCAGGTGGAGGGGCGTGGCCATCCAGGTGAAAGCTGACAACACGTGACACAGAGGCCCATCTCCCTTCCCATCCTAATTTTTCTTCTGTCAATCATGTGTGACTCCTGGAACCAGACGGGAAGTGCTTCTCCTTAGGGGGTGATGGTCTTACCTGCCCCACATCCGTCCAGCCGTTCTGTGCCGCCCAAGGCCAGGCTGGAGGAATCCTGAGAGATGGCCTCATTCCCGAGCTTCTGAAAAATTCAAGCACACAGCCCCGGGAAAGTGCATATTTATTTAAAATGTAAGAAAAAGAACAGAGCAGAACATAAATGACAACAAATAATGGCCTCTTTACTGCTCTCACACTGACTGTGTCCCACCTCTCTGTCTCCCTGAGCCTCCTCCTGGAACAAAGCTCCAGTGAGCAGGTTCTGTTCTGCCTTCACAGTCAGGGCTGAGGTCCAGAGCGTGGCCAGTGCCTCAGAATGCTTCCCCCAGGTGACAGGTGGTGGGCTCAGGGGAAGCCAGGGGGCTCAGGGACAGTTCCTGCTTCCTGTGGGGTTTTTCTGTGGAATACCTATACAGCTCGGCAGCCCCTGATGCTCCACGCAGCAGGGACACGGACACTCTGTGAGTTGCTGGGACCCTCCCTCCAAGTTGAGCTCCCCAAATCAAATTTTAAAAGCAGTGGAAACCTTTTCAACTTCAATGTACAAGAAAGGTAAAAAGGGGCCTATAACGGACAGGGCCTTCCCTGTCACTGAGGCAGAACCACAGGACAAAGAGTCTTGTTTAGGAGGTCATGGATGAACACGCCAGAATTAATTTAAAAAACCCAAAAGTGGGCACCTGGGTGGTTCACTCGGTTAAGCATCTGCCTTCGGCTCAGGTCATGATCCCAGGGTCCTGGGATCGAGCCCCGCATCGGGCTCCCTGCTCAGCGGGAAGCCTGCTTCTCCCTCTCCGTCTGCCCCGCCCCCCCCCTCGTACTTTCACGCAAAAATAAAAAATCAAAAAGAAAAGGAAAAAGAAAAGATGCCAAAGCTTCAAGCGAAGGGGTTTGTAACAGCAGAGGGGGGCGAGGTTAGACGTGGTTGTCTTGGGGAAGGAGTGGTAACCCGTGAAGCCAGGACTCGGGCTCTTCCTTGCGGTGCAGAAAGCCTACCTAAGAGCGAGGCATTTAGATACAAAAAGGTGCCTGAAACGAAACACCTAGGGTTTGCTTAATATGCCCTAAGCATCCTGTTGACAAAGACGATCCGCATCTACCTCCCGTCCCAAACCACAAAGCAGCTGGGCAGGGAGACCGGGGCCTGACCTTCAGCCTGTCGCAGCCCACGCTCTGGCAAACCTGAAAAGCACACAGCTGCTGCCGCTTCCCAGCTCCCCGCTATTCGTGACACTATAGGAGGGGTCACCTGAAACTCGGGTAGGATCTGACTCATCTACGGCATTTACCAGCCGGCCGCGGCCAGACGCTGGCCTGCAGCGCCGGCTCCCCCGCACGGCACCGGGCACGGTAGCAGGTGCCCCGGCCTCTCAGCACGACCAGGGAAGCTCCACTGGGGGAGGCTGCCGTGCAGGTGTCTGAGAAGGAATGTGCACGCAGGTTCCGCGGCCAGAATGCGCACACTGTTTGGTGTCCCTAAGGAAGAGGGATCCCAAGGAAAGGGCGCCCCGCGCCAGGGCCGCAGGTGAGCTCGAGGGAGCCCACTGGGAGGACGGGCGCGAAGTCCCCGCCTGGACCCGCAGGGGGCGCCCGAGCCCTGGACCGGAGCCGTCAGAGGCGGGGCCTAGCCGGCGCCCCGCCCAGCACCTCCTGGCCTCCAGAAGGCGGGGCCGGGTGTCCCTGCGCTCAGACACAGGTAAGGAGGTGGCCCACTTGCACGTGGCCGGGACGAGGCTGCGGCGAGCAAGTGGAAGGGGACCCCGGCTTTCGGGCGTGAGCGCCGGGCTGGCCCCCAGAGCCAAGGCCGGCTCACACTTCGCACCCCCGGCGCCTCGCCTGCCTGCGCTTCAAGTACAATCGGAGGAGGTGTGTTTTCCCCTTCCTTCCTGGCTTTCTCAGGTAGGCAACGGGGATCAGACACGCCCGGGCGGAATACGGATAAAACACTGTAACGTCTTTGAGAGCAGGCAGCTGACGAGGTGGCCCCCCAAGAAAAGATGGGGCTCTACGTATTCAGCACTTGTTACTCGCCTTTGTTAATAAACGAGAAGCACCACGTCTTCACTTTCACGGTCCTTTTCCTTTAAATACATGTATTAAATGTGAATAGTGTAAAGAAAATTATTCAAGAGTGAAGACACCATAGATTTTACCAATAGTATACCGACCAGTGCGGCTTATGCTGCTAACTTTTGTAAAGAATATAGTCATTTGGGGCGCCTGGGTGGCTCAGTTGGTTAAGCCACTGCCTTCGGCTCAGGTCATGATCCTGGAGTCCCGGGATCGAGTCCCGCATCGGGCTCCCTGCTCAGTGGGGAGCCTGCTTCGCCCTCTGACCCTCCCCCCTCTCATGCTCTATCTCATTCTCTCAAAATAAATAAATAAAATCTTAAAAAAAAAAAAGAATATAGTCATTTTAGGGGAAAATACTCTTACACTAATTTTGTGGGGGGTTTTTTGTTGTTTTTTCTTAAGAGAGAGAGCTCATGAGGGAGGGGAGGGGCCGTAGGGGCAGAGAGAGAATCTCAAGCAGGCTCCCCAAGGGCAGCACAGAGCCCGACAGGGGGCTCGATCCCACAGCCCTGAGATCAGGACCTGAGCCAAAATCAAGAGTCAGACGTTTAACCGACTGAGCCACCCAGATGTCCCTTCTTATACATACTAAGTTTTGAAAACCTTTCCTATTTTTTATTATTCTGATAGAACACTGCTGACCGGTTTGAATTTTCAATACAGGCATACCTCATTTTATCGCACTTTGCAGATGCTGCTTTTGTTTTTACAAGTTGAGGGTTTGTGACATCACTGCGCTGAGCAAGTCTGTCAGCACCATTGTTCCCACAGCATTTGCTCACTTCATGCCCCCGTGGCACATTTTGGTAACTCTTACAATATTTCAAACTCTTTCATTATTGTTCTACTTGTTACAGTGATCTCTGATCAGTGATGTTACTCTCGTAATGGTTCTGGGTGCCATGAACCGTGCCCATATAAGTCAGTGAACTTCATTGATAAATGTGGTTCATGTTCTCACTGCTCCACCAACCAGCCGTCCCTCCCCCCACCCCGCCGCCCCCCATCTCTCTCCCTCTCCTCACATCTCCTTATGCCCTGAGACACAACAATATTGAAATGGGGCCAGGTAATAACCCTACAACGGCCTCTAAGTGTTCAAGTGAAGGATGAGTTACACGTCTCCCTTTAAATCAAAAGCTAAAATGATTAAGCTTCGTGAGGAAGGCATGCAGAAAGCTGAGAAAGGCTGAAAGCCAGGTCTCAAGCCAAACAGTTACCCAAGCTGTGAATGCAAAGGGGAAGTTCTTGAAGGAAATGAGAAGTGTTATTGCAGTGAACATATGAATGATAAGTGAAACAGCCTTATTGCGGATATGGAGACAGTCTGAGTGTCCTGGACAGAAGATCAAACCAGCCACAGCATTTCCTTAGGCCAAAGCCTCATCCAGAACAAGGCCCTAACTCTTCAATTCCATGAAGGCTGAGGGAGGTGAGGAAGCTGCAGAAGTCTGAAGCTAGTGGAGGGGGGGGTCATGAGGTTAAAGAAGCTTCAGAAGAGAAAAATGCAAGGTGAAGCAGCAGGTGCTAATGGAGAAGCTTCAAAAAGTTCTCCAGAAGATCTAGCTCAGAGAATGAATGAAGGTGGCTACACTAGAAAACAGATTATCAGTGTAGATGAACAGCCTTCCTTTGGAAGAAGATGCCATCTAGGACTTTCACAGCTAGAGAGGAGAATGCTTGCCTTCAAAGCTTCAAAGGACAGGCTGACTCTTATTAGGGGCTAATGCAGCTGCCGATTTGAAGTTGAAGCCAATGCTCAGTCCCCATTCCAAAAATCCGAGGGTCCTTAAGAATAATGCTAGATCTACTCTGCCTCTGCCCTATCAATGGATGACCAAAAAAGCCTGGATGACAGCACATTTGTTCATAACATGCTTTACTGAATATTTTAGGCCCACTATTGAGACCTACTGCTCAGAATAAAAGATTCCTTTCAAAACATTACTGCTCATGGACAACGCACCTGGTCACCCAAGAGCGCGTTGTGGTTTGTTGTTTTCACGCCTACTGACACAACATCCATTCCACAGCCCATGGATCAAGGACTTATTTCAACTTTCAAGTCTTACTATGTAAGAAATACATTTTTGGGGCTAATGCTGCCATAGTACTTCTTCTGATGAATCTGGGAAAGTCAACTGAAAACCTTCTGGAAAGGATTCGACATTCTAAATGCCATTCAGAACATTCCTGATTCGTGGGAAGAGGTCAAAACATCAACATGAGCAGACTCTGGAAGAAGTTGACTCCAACCCTCATGGAGGACTTGGAGGGGTTCAAGACTCCAGTGGAGGAAGTCCCTGCAGACGTGGTGGGAACAGCAAGAGAGCTAGAAGGGGAGCCTGAAGAGGGGACTGCACTGCTGCCCTCTCATGGTCAAACCTGAACGAAGGAGGAGGGGCTTCTTACAGATGAGCGAAGCAAGTGGTTTCCTGAGATGGAATCTACTCCTGGGGGGGGAAGATGGAGTGAAGATTATCAGAATGACAACAGAGGATTTAGATTATAACAGAAACTTAGTTGATAAAGCAGCAGCAGGGTTGACAGGATTCACTCCAGTCTGAAACAAGCTCTGTTGTGGGTGAAATGCTCTAACAGCATCACGTGCTGCAGAGAAATCATTTGTGAAAGGGAGAGTCAATCAGTGTGGCAGACTTCATGGTTGTCTTATTTGAAGATATTGCCACAGCCAACCCGCCGTTAAGCAACCACCACCCTCATCGGCCAGCAGCCATCGACGAGGAGGCAAGACCCTCCACCAGCAAGCGCAGATGATCGCTATTTCTTATCGATAAAATAGTTTAAAATTGTAAGGTTTGTACATTGTTTTTTTAGACACAATGCCAGTTGCATACTTAAGAGACTAAAGTACGGTGTAAACATGATTTTCTACGTACTGGGAAACCCCCAAACTCATCTGACTCGCTTTTATTGTGATATTTGCTTTATTGTGTTGATCTGAACTGAACCCACAACATCTCCGGGGTCCACCTGTCCTAAGGATTTTTATTATTGATGTTGTTTTAAATAGACACAAGATGGCGCTAGGAGCTCATTACTATAAGCCTTGGACAACTAAGACCTAAAACATAGGAATTTTGTCACTCCAAGCCAATTTATGTATCCAATCCAAAGCACATGGAAAAAACCCTCTAGCACTTCCCATCTTTCTACCAAAAAGCAGCTGTTCATCAGTGAAAACAGTGATAAAATAAACAGCAATAAACAGCTCGTTAGTGAAAATAGCCCATTCATTGTTGTAAGAAATTCTATAAAATGGATTGAAATTTAAACATTTCCTTGGGCGTCTGACTCACCAGTGATGTGGTCAGTGTTTATTCAGAATTCTGACCAGTGAAGGCCACATCGTGCCTGCCTTGCTGAATTAGCAGAATACAGTTATATGGTCCCCCCTCTGCACCCTCCTCAACCTTCTGTAAGGGTCAATGAGTAAGTTAGGAGAGATCTGTCACAGGGAAATTGCTGGATAACTATGGTGCTGGTGGAGGAACTATGGTGAACAGCTGTAAAGTCACATGGGATGCAGGATTTAATGAAAAAATAATCAGTTGTTAAGTCATGTAAAACAGCCCTCCACACCCTGGTCTATAATACAGTTTACTAGTAACTTTCTAAAAATCAAGGTTCATTGGGGTGAATTGTTTTATTCTGATACTTCAAAAAAAACAGATGGGCAATTTTCCTTTCTTTGGGAAACCCAGTTACATACGTGAAAAAGAGCTCAGATTCATGCACTATACCCAAAACCTGGGTTAACCTGGGTATGATGAGCTTAGTGATCACAATAAAGCTATACTCTTTCAAGTAGCTGCAGGAGAAAGGAGAGATAATGGAAGGAAAAACCACAATGTCTACTTTAAAAGATGTTCGAAGGATAAATGATATATTAAGTCAGATTTTGGGGGACTTGGCAATTTTGAAACGATCAACTTTTTCTTCATAGCAATCCACAACATATCTCAATGACCAAATATTCAGTTAATTCTAACAGAATACCTTGACCCTCTTTCCTTTTGACTTTCAAATCTGGAATATAGTAAGGAATTTTTAGGTTTGGAAAAGGGAATTATGAAAAAAACTGAAAAGCAGATCTATTTTCATATAATTAGAATCTGGTTTCAGTATTTTTTAAGACTTTATTTTATTTTTATTTTTAAGTAAAAATAAAACCTGACACAAGGCTTGAATTCACAACCCTGAGATCAAGAGTCGCACGCCCTACTGACTGAGCCGGCCAGGCACCCCCATGGCTTCAGTAGTTTTATTAGCCTCTGTCAGTTCTATTTCTGGTCACGCTCAGGTCTCATTTTGGATTCAATAGACTGGTCCTCTCCCCAGCTCTGAGCATCTCCCTGCATTCCCAGGCTCCTGACTTGCACAGAAAGCAACTCGGCAGGTGGGGAAAGGCCAGCAGAGTCTCAGCCAACGACTTACCTTCAAACACTGCGGCTCCGAAAAGCGGGCCCTCGCGCCGGAGGGAAAACATGGCCCTGCCCTTGTTGTCTGTGCTCTGGGTTCTTTCGGAAAAAGGCTTTTGGATTTGGATTTTTACTTCATCAAACAGGCTAGCTCTGTACCTCTCTCGCCCATAAAAACCGAGACGGGGCAAATCACACAGACAACCGAGTCAGAAGGGACCCACCCTCACCTTCTGCGCACAGGCCGCTCTCCTCTCCTGCTTGGCCTTCATCTCTGCCAGCAGACCGCTGCCCATCACCTGGACACCGTACCTCCGCCCGCCCTGCGGGCTCCTCTTGCTGTCACTCCGCTCCACCTTGCCCACGTCCTCCCCTTGACCTTCCTCAAGGGAGTCGGGGGTTTTTATCTCCTCTGTCCGCTCCGAACTGCCATTGTGCTCCGCGGGCTTCGCATCCTTCCTGGGGGTGTCCGTGGCTGGACTTCTGACGGCCCCCTTTGGCGAGGACGGTTCGTCCATCGTCAAGACCACAGGTGGCCGCTCAGATTTGGACCGGGATTTGATTAAATTGAGAAAGCCGCTTTTCCGAGAGTCTCGCTTTTTCTTTTCATCTCCTCCTTCGCTAAGCTCATGGGACTCTGAGCCTCTTGCTGATGATCTCCTGGGATTCAAAAGAACAAATACTGTGGGTTTTGCTGTAATTAAAGCTCCAGCCAGAATCAGTCAAAATACAAATACGGAGATTGCTGCTTCTCTAGCAGCCATTTCGAAGCAGTTAAAAAATTTGAGTCTTTGCCCTTGGTAAATAGAAATGTGGAATGTTATCATAGTCACAGGTCAGGAGAGGGAGGTACCACCAGTTAAGAATGAAAACCTGAAGGGGTAGGTGTTTCTGTATCTAAATGCTCTGGTCAATGGCCTCTCCACTTGTAAGAACTTCCAGCAAAGCTGGCTTCTCAAAGACACAGGTGAGGGATGGCCTTATTTAATCTGACTGGCATTAGAAAGGGCCAGATTTCCCCCACGGCCACCTAAAATCCTTGCATAATCACTAGATCACATCTGAAATCCCACCGTTAGCGCTCAACTCAAACAAAGATGTGGGTTCTTGCCTAAATGTAATACCACTAAAAGGCAACAAGGACAGTGAGCTTTGGTAGAGAGTTGTACAAAAGAGAATGTTCAGGAATGAAAGACAATATTCAGGAATGGGGAAATGGGTAGGGGAAAAAGCAAGTCCAAGGGGCCAATGGGAGGTCTCCCTGGTGCCTTTCACTTAAGAGATGGCAGACGCAGACCCCATTAGCTCCTCTGAGTCCCCCGTGAAACCACGGCCAAAGGTGTAAAGAAAAAAATAAAGGGAAAAGCCCCAGAGTGGAAGAAAGACAAAACAACACAGTCTGGAAGCCAAGACAACTGTGAGTGAAAACGGACTCAACAGACATAGAAAGCTGCTCCCTGAAGCGCTGGTGGGGGAGACAAGAGGCGGTGGGTTTGCCCGAGGCTCCAGGCGCCTCTGGAAACAGAAGTGAAGGGGGGCTCTAGAGAGGGAGAGAGCCAGAAGCCCATTCATCAAACCGTCAAATCCTCTCCCCAAACCAGAGACCAAAACTGCCCCTTTGTGCCCAAGTTTACCCGCCGGGGAGGGTGAGGGGCAGCAGACCATGGCACCCCAAAATATACCTCTTTGGCACAAGGATTATTTTAGACTGATTAAGAAATAGCAGATGCTAACTGAACATAATAAAAATAAATAAATACATAATAAAATAAATAAAATAGGAATGACTTAAAAAAATAAATAAAATAAAAATCAAGGTTAAGCTCAAGAAGAGCAAAAATAAAAAAATAAGAAGAAATAGTAGATGCCGGAGAAGCTCTGAGAACTGGGAAGTTGCCCTCTGGGAAGAGCCGTTTATAAGAGAAATTTCCATTTATAAGTGTGTTCCTCTCAGTAGCAGGAAGAGGAGGAGGAGAACTAAATCTCTAGAAACTTATCAATGGAGAAGGTATGGACTTAAATCTGTGTAACACCCTTACCCTGTTTAGAGACCTTTTCCTGGTAACCTCCCCACACTTATCCTACACCCTTCCTGCCCCCCATCCCAACATCTGTCTTTTGTTTTTAGCTGAAAATGGCATTTAAGGTGGTGGCTTGAGCCATTCTGGGAAGCTACTCAGTTTTTCTGAGTCTCTCCCATGTATATAGGAAGCATCCTTGTTCTTGAACTTCTGTTTTTCTCCTGTTAATCTGTCTTTCATTACAGGAGTATCTCAGCCAGGAACCTAGAAGGGTAGAGAGAAAATTATTTTTCCTCCCCTACAATCACAGGAAAGCCTGCATATTGGAACAGTGATACTCACAAGCTCTTTCTCTCATTCTGGATCCTAGAATAGGGCAGCCAGGTTTATGCCCTCCAGGCAGGAGATCAAATTTCTCAACACGCTCAAGAGAAAAGACCCAAAAGACTCAGATAGTCAGGGAGACCCTCGCCCAACAAAATGATCCAAGAAGGGTACCCTACATTGAAGTCTACCATTCAACAGGCTCTACTTGTTACCAGGTGAACTGGGGAGACCCTGGGCCCTTGACCCAGCCTGTCCCAAAGATGTCCTGGAATGCTCTTGGTCTCATCAGGAGGAAGAACTGAAGGACAGACACACAACACACTGGATAAGCAACATAAGCAGAAAGTTTATTAAACCGAAAGTACACTCTCGAGGGGAACCTGGCTGGCTCAATGGGTGCAGCAAGCAACTCTTGATCTTGGGGTTATGAGTTCAAGCCCCACACTGGGTGGAGAGATTACTTAAAAATAAAATCTTTAAAAAAACAAAACAAAACAAAAAATAAATTATACTCTCGAGATGTGAGTATAAGCTTAAGAGACAGCGAGCTGTGTGCGGGGGTTTGGGGTTCTACCTTTTATGCGCAGTTAACAAGAGAGTATAATATTCATTATTTGGTGTGGGGAAGCAGGGTTTCCCGCTTTTTCTTCCTCACTTGCTCAGGGCTTTCCTGTCGCCCCACAATCTTGGGCCTGTCTGGTGGGATCCGGCCTCTCGTGGACGCTGCCAGGACAGGCCTCTGACCTTCCCCACAGCTGGCCACGGCCGCCTCCTTGCTGGCCTCCAGGCATCCCGTTAGAGCCTCACTGCCTCTAAGACACCAACTTCCAAGCTCACTAGTGTCTTATTTCATTTCAAATAAAGGAGCAAAAAACTGTTGCACCATCAAACAAGCATAATAGGAAAATGTGATAGCAGGAGGTAAAACTCAAGGTTGGAAGATATAGCTGAGGAAATCTGCCAGATGACAAGGAATAGGGTAACAGAAAGAATGAGAAAATGAGAGAGAAAGATAAAAACAAAACAAAATAAAAACTAGGGATTCATAGAGAAAACACATAATTTGAATAATGGATGTTTTAGATAAAGAGTACAGAGAAAAAGGAAGAGAAGAAATTATGAAAAAAATAATTCCAGAAAAATCCCAGAACCAAAGCACATGAATTTTCAGATTGAAATGGCTCATTAGTGCCTAGCAAAGGGGTTCAAACAAAAAAACAAAACAAAACAAAGCAAACCCACCCAGAGCCAATCATCATAAATTTCTGGGAACAAAGAGAAAATCCCAAACACTTTCCAGAAAAAGAGTAAAAACAAAAACAAGTAACAAAGGATCAGGGCGGGCTCATGACGACATTGCATTTGTACGGGCCAAGGCCAGGCTGCCTCAAGATGGGCTGCTTTGGCATGAAGATTATTTTGAGTGAACAAGTCATCAAAACCCAGCCAATTCAGGAAAAAGCTCCTCACATCCCCCCTTGACTGCCTAAAAGAATTTAGATAGAGGAGCTCCTCCAGGAAGAGAGCTGTGGGCACCGAGAACTACATTACGCTACGAACCAGGAGTGCTAGGTGGCGCAGAACCTAGCAAGGCCTGTCGGACCAGGCCTCTATGTCCCCTTGTCTGAGTGGCTCAGCAGACACTTGTGAAGCAAACATTTACTCTTCCTGAGAACTGCATTCCTTCCCGTTGAAGTCCCGACCCCTGTCGCCATCTCCTTAGTCCAAAATGACGTATGTGACTCATTTTGCTGGACTGACTTTGGAATTTCCCCTCTGTGTGGCTTCCCTATACGTACACTATTATATTTGATTCTCTCCTGTTAATCTTTCTCATGTCAATTTGATTCTTAGTCCGGCTAGAAGGATCTTGAAGGGGACAGGGTATTCTCGCTCCCCGACAGACAGATTCTTATAGCAACACTAGAAGCTAGAAGGGAATGGGACCAGGTTTTGAAAATTCTAAAGTAAGATGGATTCAATCGAGAATTCTATACGTAGTTACACTGTTAATCAAAACAAAAGATCTACAAGTCTCAGATGCTCCCCTCCCAAGCTGCCCTTCTCAGGATGCAACCGGAGGAGGTCGTTCACCAAAACAAGGGAGTCAAAGGAAGAAGGAGAAAACACAGGCCAAAGGAAACAGGAAAAGGACACAGGCATGTGGCCAAGGGAAGCCCCCAGTAGAAAGAGACGGGAGGTGGCGGGGGTGACGGCAGGGAAATGGGCCCAGATGCCACACGCAGTCAGTCAGGCAGCAGCGAAGGATAGGTCTGTCTGTCGCAGGAGATGACACGGAGGATACGTGAACAAATGTGGAGGAGATTTATGCCTTTCTTGGAGAGGTATGGGATATAGCAGGGACAGGAATACGGAAAAGTCAGCAAACGGGAAGGGGATGATTATTAACTGCAGGGAACCTAAGAGGCTGTAAAGGAGAGCAAACCCAAAGATGGTGTAACTCAGTCATGAATATTCACATGGAAGAGAGAGAGAGAGAGAGAGTATGGTGGGCAGTAGGGTCACAATGTATCAGAGCTAAATTATCATCCTCTACAGTGAGGAGCTAACAGTCATGCTTGCTATCTAAATCTGAAAAACAGGAAATAGCAAAAAATGTTATTAAAGAATATGGAAGCATAAATAAAAAATAAATAGCTAAAGGCATAGGAATTAATTGCCTCTGGGGAATAGGGAGTGGGGAAAGAAACAATAGTTTGTTTTTTGGGTTTTTTTTTGGTAAGAGCCTTGTAGAACATCTGGTGTTTTAAACTAGGAGCATTTATAACTTTGATTTGCAAATGTTCTTCATACAACTTGCAGATTTTACCCGTGCCTAGCCCTTTACACATCAAACTGACAGTCTGTTTTTATATAACAAAAAAGAAATGAAAAAAAAAATCAAAACTTCTAGTAGATTCCATCATTATTTGATGAAAATTGATTTCTAGTTCTATTATTTGTGCACTGAAACATACTCCCAGAGCAGTATCTTTGTAGAAAGTAGATTTTATACCTTCTAAAATTCGCCTAACTTTCCTCCAGAGCCCGTCACAGAAGAAGGCATCATAAGGATGCAGGAAATCACACGGGGGCAGACCAAGCATGCATACACCTTCCACTAACAACATACCAACTTCTGAAATTTAGGAGGAGGTGAGCCCCCAGTGGTGTCTGTAGTTTGTAGGGATACAGGGCAAGACCGTCTAAATTCATTCAACCAACTGTGACTGAAGACAGACTATATATTACAGGGCTGTGTCAGACACTCAAGTTATAATGAACAGTAAGACCTGGGGGATGCTTCTGAAGAACAAACAAGCATTCTCTGGGGACAAATGACTTGCGAGCACAACATTAAAAGGGGACGTTGCCATTTCGTTCTGTTTATGTTTGCATATCGGGACTGCCTGAATCTTTTACACTGAGAGTACATCCATCCATTCCTCACACCATAAAAAAATTTAAAACAGAAGAAATGCTCAGAGGATTATGTGTGCTCTAACAGATGCGTGCAGAGGATGAAAAAAAAAAAAACTTTGAGTCAGCAGCAGAGAAAGAGCAATTAATCTGGGGGGTGGGGACAGAGTAGTCCTGAGACAGCTTCAGAGAATAAATGACACTGAGGTTTGTTCTTGAAGAATGGGAGCATGGAATCTTTCCTCGGATGCCAAGCTTCAAGGCCAGTGTCAAAGAAGACAAATAATTGGGTCCTGAAGCTTCTAACGTGCGGTGAGTTATACTGGTATGGATATAAAAACTTCACTTATTTCCACCTCACCATCCTGCTGAGGCAAGATAAGGCACATCAATCTATGGAATGGACCAGTTTCTTCCCTACGTGTGCTGGCCTGTCCACCCTCCCACCCTCGGCTTATCGCTACGGTTTCAGTTCATTCCTGAATTTGCTATCCCCAGGTGAAGAATACTTCAGACACAAATCCACGTTCAGAGTGTATTTGGGGATAGATCTGCCTTTTGGTTGGGGATTAAATAACTCGGTACAAATCCTGCTTAATGCTGGAAGTGTTCCAGGTTAAACAGCTGTCAAAAGAAGTTCATAAAAGGGCTGTCTTTTAAGGAAACACCACTTACGAATAAGAAAATAAGACAACTTCATGTTGACACTGTCTGTTGAAGCCGTGACATTTTAGCAGGCGATACAGCCTTCCCCACCCCCCCACCAACCACCAAATTCTGAGTGAGGAGAATTTAGAAATAAGTAATGTCAGCTCTCAAAGTTCACCACTCTGGAATAGAGTCATCCAGGTGCCGGTGGTAAAGCCCTAAAAAAATACCTGGGTGTGGGGTGCCTGGGTGGCTCAGTTGGTTAAGCGACTGCCTTCGGCTCAGGTCATGATCCTGGAGTCCCGGGATCGAGTCCCGCATCGGGCTCCCTGCTCAGCAGGGGGTCTGCTTCTCCCTCTGCCCTCTTCCCTCTCGTGCTCTCTGTCTCTCATTCTCTCTCTCTCAAATAAATAAATAAAATCTTTAAAAAAAAAAAAAATACCTGGGTGTGTTCTACTTTAGAACGGCACAATGGTTCTCAAACTTGAGCATGCCTCAGTTTACCCTGGAAGGCTTATTAAAGTACAGACTGCTGGGCCCCACATCCCGTTTCTGATTCGGTGTGTCTGGGGTAGCGGCTTGAGGATCTGCATTTCTAGTAAGTTCCCAGTTGACAAGTGAGATCGCTGGCCTGGAGATCACATTTTGCTAACCATCAGAATAGTCAATCCTACGTAATACATATAAAGTAAGATAAACAAGCCTTGGCACAGTAAGTTTCATGGCAACTTAGTAATTTAAATGTGCATGAAGCAGTATTATTAGCAGAATGACTCTGAACTCACCTGGAATCCATTTTGGTCACCTTCTTGGTGAAAAATTCATCCACACCTTCGTCCACTCTCCCCATAAGGCCGTTCTGCTCACCGTCGTGGGGGACGACGCTAGCGGCGCAGACCTGCAAGTCAAACACGGGGACCGGTAACTCGGGCGGCGTCATTCGGCAAACGTCACGTCCCGGTCCACGCTCGGTGATAAGGGCCACGGGAAGGACACGACCGGCTAACTGAGGGCCCCTACGGTCTGCAGGAATGGGAGCCCCGCGTAGGACTGCGCCAGGGGCACAAACAAAAGCGAGGCATGCACTACACACGCACAGCCTAGCGGCAGCTCCGTCCAACCCATTGCCCCGAACAGCTCGCCCTACCAGGCTGCGCGGCGCCCCTAGAGGTGGAGCCTGGAATTGCAGGTGATGGTAAGGGAAGAGAGTGTGCGTGGGAAAATGAAAACACGGGCTAGGTTCTGAGACTGGAGAGCGTTCCGGTGGCCAGGGGCCAGTGGTGTGTGGGTGGGATTAAGTGCTGGGTACAAACCCTGACAGATCCTAACAGGGGCCTCTGCAACCAAACCCCCTCCCCCACTTCCTTTCTTTCTGGCGGAAGAATCCTGATTTCAAGGTGTGAATACTTACTTCTACAAGCCAAATACCGTAATTCTCTCTCTTTGCCCATGATTGGTAGGTATGGCGTACGATAGAATTGTGGTCAGTGAGATATAAGGGAGATCGGCTAGGGGCTCATGAGCAGGTTTTCCGCAGAGGAAGGAATGCAGTTTTCCTGCATGGTTATATGGGGGAGGATGAGATGTTGGAGCCAAAGCACCCACGTGGGGTTCAAGAGAGGACAAGCCTGAGGGCAAAAGCCAACATGTGCTGGATGACAGAGCAGAAGGGCAGAAAACACCTGGGTGCTTGTGCTTTGCTGCTGAATAAACCAGTCCTTGATCCTGAGACTTCTGGATTTCTTGGGAGTCGAGAAAAATCAGTGTTTCTCACTATTTAAGTCATGTTTAGTTGTGTATCTCTCGTTATCTCTAGCTGAACAAATATTTCCCAACTAATAACACAAGGACCTATGGTGAATAGCCTCGAATCTTATGCTGAAGAGTGTGGAATTTACTTTGTAGGTGATAGGGAGCCCACAAAAGAGGGGCATGGCCCACCCTGAATTTTGTTCAGGTAATTCTAGGGCAGCATGAAGGACATATTGGAGACGCCAGGGAATGTATGTAGGGGAATCTGTTCAGGAACACAAAAGAAAGATTCCTGGAATAGTCTAGTCTAATCTGGAGGAGACAAGGAGCAAATTAAGGGCTAGAGAAGTGAGAATACAAAGAATTGAGGTGCCTCCGATGAGGTCGAAGTTTCTAGGCTGGGAGAATGGGAAGCATGGTTCTAGGGAACACAGTTCAAAGACCAGATTTGGGGAAAGCAATGATGAGTCCAATTTCTGACGAGCATTTGAAGTGCTGTGGGAAACCCAGGGTCAGGCATCCAGCAGACACTTGAAAGCTTGGGTCTTAGGAGAGAAGCTATAAGGAAATCATTTACCAAGTTAGCATTTCTTTTTGAATGGACAACTCACAGTGAGCTCAGCCACATGTCTGATTTGTGTCTGCAATGGTGTATTAATATTTCACACCAATAGGTTGTGGGCCCTTGAGAAAGAGTGCGTATTTTGCCCATTCCTTTGGGCACAAGGACAAATTCTCCTGTGGTTGAGGTATCTGGTCTGAATGTCCTGCCACAGAGTGGTGGGGAAGTGGCTTTCTGTAATTTTGATCTGCAAGTGTCAAGTTGCCTCCGGGGGAATTTGGCTCATGTCCATGTCTGCATATGCACTGTTTAAAGAAAAGCCAATCATGTGCTTTAAGCAATCCTCCACTTCACTCACTGGGAGATCTCCATTATGAAAATGAGCTGTGTGTCTGAGTTCATGTTTGTGAAATACTGAAAAGTGAGCAGGTAACAGGTCACAGACAAAAGAACTCCTATGAAATGTGAATAATAACAATTATACCTCTCGTCTGAATGGTGCTATATATTAAAGCAAGGCTTTCCTATGCATTATAATAGAGCAGAGAATCAGCAAAGTTCTATAACTCAATTAGGGAGAGAAAGCAGCTCTCGGATTCACTTTTATCACAGAAGATAAAAGTAGCACAGAAGTTGCCTGTGTTGGCATGTTAATAGAGACCGGGATCTCCACAGTAATAACGGCTCCCTGTGTGTGCTGAATGCTTGATCGTTTATAACAAGTGTCTTGCACTTGATTCCATGTTCACATCTACTCTGCACTGAAAAGGAAAGATAGTTTTATCTTAGTCTTTGGTTAGTCACAGATCAAACTGTGGCTCAGAGAGTGACAGGCACCCACACAGCTCCCCTGACTGATGGATGAGAAGGATTATGAGCCCGGGACATATGGTTCTAACACGGGGCTTCCTTCCAGCGGACCCATGCTTCGCCTCAGAGGCTCCCTCTCAAATTCTCTTTCCCATTTTGAGAAAAAAAAAAATTACTTTTTACTAGCATAAATTTCTCCTTTACACCCTTTCCTTTCTTCTTGCTTTGAAACGGAATGCAGAGCGAGCACAAAAAGTTCTCAGGGCTCAGGGAGAACATCAATGGGTTTCAGAGATGGAAGCAGACAGGGCTCCACAGAGCAGTCTGCTTTCATGCAGGACGGGCCAGCTTTCAGGGCTGGACGGACCTTGAGGTAGATCCCCCAGTCCAACCCTGTCATTTTAGAGATGAAGATGCTGAGAGCAGAGAGGTTACGGGAAGTCCAGAGTCGCTGGGAGATCCTCAGTGAGATGTGGTTTAAAATGCATCTGTTGGACTAGGAAGCGGCTTGTACGAAGAGCAGCAGAAATATCGAACACAAGAAGGAAACACAGTTTGTCCGAACAGTTCAAGGCTAAACACACACGCTGTTTTAGCTCAGTTGCTAGCAAACGGAAAGGAAGGGACATAGAGACATCAGAAGTTGCCCAAATCCCATTTGACTTTGGCCTTTCTGTCAAGGAGCATAAATTTCAGACTAAAAAGTGTAGCGTCGTTACTGGAAGGGGAGAGCAGAAATCCTATCCCTGAGCCAGCTGGAACGGGCTCCATCTGCACGCAGAGAAAGGCTTTTGCAAAGAAAATAGGGCAGCAGAATGGCTGTTGTCGGTATTTGACAAATCAAGAAGGTAGATTTTGCACCTCTGGTGTATGAATACATGCTAAAAGGATAATTTGTGAATGCTTAGAAGATGAGCCAGTGATTATGAGGACTAATGACAATTCAGACCACCCTCCGTCAGGATTATGAAGATGAACACACCAAGGAAACACTGTGGGTGGTGCACCTGGATTCTGACGAGGCGGCTGCCAAATCTCTCATGTCTCCATAGGCCGGATGGAGAGAGATGGGCAGAAAGGAAGGAAAATTAGTGTATTATTAGTAACTCTAAACACATAAACCCAAAGAGTGCTGATTAGTGAGCTGAATAATCATGGAATCTTACATGCATACATTAGACAGTAACAATCATGGAGAAGTGAGAGCTAAGCAATAAAGTCAGAAAATAAGGAAACCAAAGGATGTAAAATGAAGGAAATATAATAAAAGGACAAAAATTGATGAATTTGAGAGGACAAATAAAACTAAAGCTGATTCTTCCCCCCCCCCCCCAAAAAAAAGACTAATAAAAGAGACAACCTTGCAAAATTAGGAGAGGCAAAATAGATCAGAAAGGGAAAAAAATGGGACACAGCTATGGTTCAGATTAAAAAGTTCTAAGAATTCTACAAACAACTAAATGAACAATTAGATAAGTAGATGATATCCTAGAAAAATATCAATGGCCAAAATGGTCTCAAGAAGAATTAGGTAATCTGATTAGATCCATAACAAAAGAAATCAAATCCCTAGGAGAGGAATCTACATATAAGCATCACCTGCACACAAACAACGCATCAGGCCCAGAGGGTTTCCCAGGAGAACAGAAAATCTCCATTATATACAAACAGTTCCAGAGAAGAGGAAAGGGGACCTTCCGAACTAATTTTATGAAGATAGTGTAATTTTGAAACCCAAAGTAGTTGGATGGTCTAGACAAGATTAAGAAAAACTACAGGTCTCTCTTATTTATGCATACAAATTTAAAAAATCCCAAATAAAATACGGTAAACAAAGCCCAGCAGTATATTAAAACAAAGCAAGAATATACACCTGAAACTAATATAACACTATATGTTAATTATACTAGAATTAAAAAAAAAAGAGTATCATAATTATTATCAAGACTGGTGTACCATTAGAAAGGTCTGTTATTGTGATTCACAATAGCAAAACAAAAGAGAAAAATAAATGATCAATTTCCAGAAATACTGAAGAAAAAAAAAACAATCAAATTAAACCCCCATTCACTGAAAAAAAATTAGCAAACTAGGAAGGAAACTTTCTCAACTGAATAAGTAACAGGAGAAACTGCCACATGCCTACCCAGTCTCGATATCAAACCCTGACTTAATTGGGTGTATCCACTGACCAAGTGAAACACATTATCTTCTCAGATGTTCTTGTACCTGGGGCTGGAAATATGGCTTACTTCTGGACAGTGAGATGTAACAGCAAGTATACCAGGACTTTGGGGTATGTTCACATTTCCTGATGCACGTACCCCCTTTTTCTCTGTCTGAAATACACTTACAAATACAGAAGATTATAGGCCTTGCCTGAGAGTGACCACTACCAGTTACCCAGATGATACAGCTATTAAAAAGTGAATACATCCACTCTCACCACTTTTATTCAACATAGTACTGGAAGACCTAGCCACAGCAATCAGACAAGAAAAAGAAATAAAAGGCATCCAAATTGGTAAAGAAGAAGTAAAACTTTCACTAAACATGACTACATATAGGAAAAAACCCAGAAGACTCCACCAAAAAACTAGTAGTACCGATGAGTGAATTTAGTAAGGTCATGGGATACAAAATTAATATACAGAAATACATTGCATTTCTATACACTAGTAATAAAGTAGCAAAAAGAGAAATTAAGGAAACAGTCCCATTTATAATTGCAACAAAAAGAATAAAATACCTAGGAATAAACTTAACCAATGAGG